TGTATTTATTTACCTGCAGCTGTCCAACCCATCTTTGTATAAGGGATCAGCAATTTTCAATGCACGTCCAAGTTTTCGCGGGGGTTGTCGTTATCAGCAGGAGCGGAATCCATATGCAAGCCGTGGTTGTCAGGTAAAGAAGAATCGTCTGTCAGTATTCATGGTCAGAATCAACCCTTTAATATTAAATAATATCGAGTAACACGCACAAATCACGGTGATGCAAAGGCAAACAAAGTAATGATAAATTAACAACTGGGTAGCTTATTATTTAAAACTCAAATCAAACTGACGTTTGAGTAGTTTTAAAAAAATATTACTATAGTTGCCATTTAATAAACAAAATATCGTATTATCGATCGACGCAACAAGTAGATCAGTATTTTATATGCTCATTGTCAATGTATAATTATAATACAATAGAATTTTAAAATACTCAAATGTATATAAACAAAGTATAAGTAAGTAAAAAAGCTCAATGTGAATATTTTGTCAAAATACTATTTGATTTTTTTAAGAAAAGTTGGCAACCCAGAAAATGCAAATGTCAGTGTATTAAGATAAAATTGTTTTAGTGTTATTTAATTTGCCGAAAATTATTCTGTCTTTTATCCTGACTTGAATAGCAAGGAAAATTAAGAAAATTTAAATTATGTTTTTTCAGCAAAATACAATTTTTGGGCGTTCTGGGCCTAATATCGGCATTCCCCTTTGGTTATTGGTTTTGCACTTAATTTTCTCATGTTTGGTAGAGAGTTAATTTGTTGATGCTTCTCTACACCATTTTGGTAATTCTTTGTTAGTTTGGACCAACTTGAGTTTGTTAAAGGGATTTTTGTGCCCTTTCTTTTGGATCACTTAGTGACATTTTTGTTAGAGTTGAGTCACATTTGTTAAAAGCGTATTGCGCATTGCTATATATTAAAATTATTAATGTTATTTGTTACTATTATATATTAAAATTATTAATATTATTTGTTACTATTTCTATTTCTTTTGATGTTGGTGATATTGTTTGGAGAAGAAGTTTTGTTCAGTCTAATGCTCCAGTATATTTCGGCGAAGCCTGCACCTAAGTTTGTTAAGTGTAAAATTTTAGATAGGATTTCAGATAATGTTTACCTTTTGCAGGACCTTTTAAAGAACACCATTGGTCGCTATCACATTAAAGATATTATTAAGTATTAAAAATTCACTATTCGGTTATTAACTTTTAGTCTTAATTTGATATATTTGTTGGATTCAGCTTTTGTGTGTGGAAGTATGTAGATTGATGTATGCAAGGGAAGGGCAATATTTGTATGTTGATGTAGTGTGGGGAGTTCTTAACAATGTATTAACTTTAGGGCTTTAGCTCAAAAGTTTACTTAGGTCGTTTTGGTTTATTAATTTAGGAACTTCATTCATAATGGGAACAACATCAAAAGAATATTTTGTTTGTATTGTATTTGCACTTTTACCTAGTGTAGAGTGTTTTGTTGAAGTTAGATTCGCCCTCTTTTCAAGGGTTGAATGGTTTGTTTGTTAGATTCATGCATTTTTTTTCAAGTGTTGAATCATTTGTTTTTTGTTGGATTCACGTTTTTTTTTTAAGCGTTGAATATTTTGTTTGGTTTCTGTTGTATTGTGCCCGGTAGTTCGGTGGTGTTGAGCCGATCACAATACACAGGTTTTTTATATATTCTCACCGCCTTGTTGTGATGAATATTTTGTTTGGTTTCTGTTGTATTGTGCCCGGTAGTTCGGTGGTGTTGAGCCGATCACAATACACAGGTTTTTTATATATTCTCGCCGCCTTGTTGTGATGAATATTTTGTTTGGTTTCTGTTGTATTGTGCCCGGTAGTTCGGTGGTGTTGAGCCGATCACAATACACAGGTTTTTTATATATTCTCACCGCCTTGTTGTGATGAATATTTTGTTTGGTTTCTGTTGTATTGTGCCCGGTAGTTCGGTGGTGTTGAGCCGATCACAATACACAGGTTTTTTATATATTCTCACCGCCTTGTTGTGATGAATATTTTGTTTGGTTTCTGTTGTATTGTGCCCGGTAGTTCGGTGGTGTTGAGCCGATCACAATACACAGGTTTTTTATATATTCTCGCCGCCTTGTTGTGATGAATATTTTGTTTGGTTTCTGTTGTATTGTGCCCGGTAGTTCGGTGGTGTTGAGCCGATCACAATACACAGGTTTTTTATATATTCTCACCGCCTTGTTGTGATGAATATTTTGTTTGGTTTCTGTTGTATTGTGCCCGGTAGTTCGGTGGTGTTGAGCCGATCACAATACACAGGTTTTTTATATATTCTCACCGCCTTGTTGTGATGAATATTTTGTTTGGTTTCTGTTGTATTGTGCCCGGTAGTTCGGTGGTGTTGAGCCGATCACAATACACAGGTTTTTTATATATTCTCACCGCCTTGTTGTGTCGAATATATAAACCTTGTCCGCATTTTTAGAATTGTGTTTTTTCCCTTTGCCAATTTTAGGGTGAAGCATTGTTTTGTAACTCCATTAGAGTCGGTGACTAAGGTGTCCAACCGCACTCCTTGGATATTGATATCTTGTTAGATATTCAATTCCTAATGGATGTTGTTTTTGTGAAGTCTATTTTGTTGTTGTTTGTAGCTCCATTAGAGTCGGTGACGAAGGTGTCCAACCGCACTCCTTGGATATTGATATCTTGTTAGATATTCAATTCCTAATGGATGTTGTTTTTGTGAAGTTTATTTTGTTGTTGTTTGTAGCTCCATTAGAGTCGGTGACGAAGGTGTCCAACCCCACTCCTTGGATATTGATATCTTGTTAGATATTCAATTCCTAATGGATGTTGTTTTTGTGAAGTTTATTTTGTTGTTGTTTGTAGCTCCATTAGAGTCGGTGACGAAGGTGTCCAACCGCACTCCTTGGATATTGATATCTTGTTAGATATTCAATTCCTAATGGATGTTGTTTTTGTGAAGTTTATTTTGTTGTTGTTTGTAGCTCCATTAGAGTCGGTGACGAAGGTGTCCAACCGCACTCCTTGGATATTGTTGTCTTGTTGGATATTCAATTCCTAATGGTGGTTTGGTTTAGAGATTTGTTTTGAGAGTTAGTGTGATTTTGTTTGTAGAGTTTTTTGATTCTGTATTTGGTTTTTATAGTCCTTCTTTGGTGTTTGGATTTTGGTATTCTTGGAGTCTGTAGAGTTTTCGTGAGTTTTTAGAGTCAGTTTTTGGAGTTTTTGTAGAGTCAGTTTTGGAGTTTAGATGTTTTCAAATCTTTTTGTTTGTTGTATATTTTGTTTGAGTATTGACTTTTCGGCATAAAAGAAAGAGTCCTTTCTTTTAATTTTTTTTGGGAAGGTATGTAATGTAACGGTGCATTTCGCACCATTACAGAAAATTGAATCATCGACGTGTTTTTAGTTTGTCAGTCGAATTTTATGACGTTTCAGCGAGCTCTGATCGACGGTGAGACAGACGAGAATAATGAACGGTGCTGTTCGTCTATGGTAATTTATCGATTTAGTTTTTCTTGTTCTGGCAACATTTGGACGCGTTATAGTGAAAAGGCATTATGGCGTCACATTGGTTTTTGTCCGAGTCGGAGTAAGGTTTAGTTTTTGAAAATGTAATTTATTTGTTGTAAACGAGCCCTCGTTTACAACAATTTGTTTCATATTGTTATTTCATATTTTATTGTTTGGCCAATCTCGTTAAAGACTCAAGTTAATTGTTCGAATTGTTATTTCCATTGAAAAGGAATTAATTATAATGCCGCTGCTTTGTTTGTGAAACGTTTTGGGACCCTGATGAATCACGGTCTTTAATTTAAATTTAAGGTTTTTAGTTATACCTTAATTCTTTAATTTACACCTAAATTTCTTGTTATACCTTATTTTCTTATTGGATTATAATGTCATTGCGTTACATTTGGATTTTGCCTCACTGCCGGCCTGACCCGAGGATTTAGTTTGCTGTGGAGCACCTATAATAGTAGAAAAAGCTGTTTAGCTGTAGTCCATTATCAGGAACCTGGTAATATACTACCCCGCCACTTCCACCACGTGGGAACCGGAGTGAGATTTATTAGCCTTAGTTTGCCATCATTTCATTCGGACTGAGCCAAGGTCATTAGGTATGTTTTTTTATTAATTTGTTTGGCGTCGTGGCATCGGATACTGCAGGTCCCCAAGGGGTGTTATTTTTATTAAGGGAGTAGGTCGATGCTACAACTACCCTTAGATTTATTTCCTATTAAGTCTTTATGTGACTCTTAAAACATATTTAATTTTAGTTTGTTTTATTTGTTTATTTGAAACAGATTGCATTAACGACAGTACTAATTTGAGTATAAGAATTACATATTGTAATTAGAACCTTAAGATACCATGTACTCTACAGACACTACGGGATAATAAACTGCCACTTGAACTTAACATCTTTGTATTTAATAGCTGCCCCCCATCCTAGATTAAAAGTCTAGCGCTGACCGAGTTGTCCGAGGCATTTATTGTATTTGTGGTTGGTTGTCTGTGTTCATTTAAGGTGGAGGACCTGGCACCCGAGTTTATTCGGTTTGTTAGTATTTTTGGTGCCTCCAGTTAGTTTGTTTGTTTGTTTAAAACACAGACCACACGCAAAAATTTTATTTTTTATTTTTTAATATTACAAGGCATTATTAAAAATCTTTTTAAGAAATGTGAAGAAGATAAAACTGACCCTTATATAGCTTTGCTTATGTATAGAAACACACCTAAAGACACAGGACACTCGCCTTCACAATTATGTATGTCAAGAAGTTTACGCACTAAAATACCAGTCACTGAGTCACAACTTTCACCGAAACTAGTAAATATGAATCTTCTTAAATATAATATTGAAAAACAGAAAAAGTATACAACACTTTATTATAATCAACACCCAAAACCCTTGAGTAAACTGAACATAGGTGATAAGATTTACTTCAAGCATCAACCACACAATTCACACAGTCAATGGGTGCCAGGTACAGTTTCACAGCAGTGTGATGAACCTCGTAGTTTTGTCATTCAGTCGCCGCACGGTAAAATCGTGAGCACATATTAAAACCACTATGTCCTGTCTCTGAAGCTGCACCTGAAAACAAAACAAATGTAAACAATGATATTACAAATAAGGTACCAAGTAATTGTAACCCTACTATTAATGATACGCCGAAGATGACACGTTCGGGTCGCAGTGTTAAAAGGCCACAACGTTATCTTTGTTAAGGATTAAGGGGATAATTAAAGATACAATGACATAAAACGTGTCTTTTATTAATATCTCTAAACAATAAAGGAGTGCGTATAACCTACAGAGCCTTGCTTGACAACCGAAGCAGTGTTGCCATTACAATCCAATATTATATTAAGTATGTTCAATAAATCATTGTTAATTAACACCTCCCCCCAATGATTTATATTAACAGAACTAACATTACACTAATTTCTAACATTACAATGAATAAATAAGAACTAACATTACAATGGCTTTTATTAACAGAACTAACAAACTAAAAATACACAATGCGAACTAAACTTTATTCCAATCCTAATTTATGTACAAAATAATTATGAGAGGTTCTGTTTAATGGTTTCGTAAAAATATCGGCTATTTGTTGCTTTGTAGGTATATACATAACACGAATTTCCTTACATTCTATTTTATGTTTAATAAAGTTGTATTTTACGTCCACATGCGTCATCCTTTTTTGATCAGGATTACATACAGAAAACATTGTACTTTTATTGTTTTCATATATGGTAGTGGTATTACAACTAACGTCTAACTTATTTAATAATTTCCTAATCCAACAAGCCTCCAGAGCGGCTTCATTGAGGGAGTATAACTCTGCCTCAGTAGTGCTTAAAGCTACAGTGCTCTGCTTTTTGCAACGCCAAATAACACTGTTGTCAAACACTTTAAATACATAACCAGTTATAGATTTCCTATCTTTACCTACTGCAAAACTAGCATCAGCATATCCAACTAGTGCTTCGGAATTACAATTCTTATAATATTTTAAATTATAATTAATGGTACCCTTAATGTATCTTAAAATCCTTTTCAAGCATTGCCATAACCTTTCTGATGGTCTAGATTGATATCTTGCTAAATATGAAACAGTAGCACACAAATCAGGTCTTGAACCTACTACAGCATACATTAAAGAACCTATACAAGCTCTGCATTTATGCTCTAAAGAGTAATCAACCGTACAACCATCAAGATTAACATTAACTTCCATGGGTGATTCACTAGGATTTGCTTCAGACATACCAAAATTTGTCAATATAGATTCTAAATACTCTTTCTGGTTAATATACAAACAGTCACTATCCTGAATAATATTAATACCCAAATATTTTAAATTTTTAGATCCTAGATCTTTCATTTTAAATTCTGTATTTAAAGTTTCTTTAAAATTATTTATCCTTGAATTATCCTCACCTATAATTAATAAATCATCCACATATAACAAAATGTAAATACCATCCCTTAAATATAAACAATAATCACTTTCTGCCCTTTGAAACCCTTTACTTTTCATAAAATCATAAAATTTATTGTACCAATTTTTTCAAGATTTTTTAAGACCGTAAAGTAATTTTTTAAATTTCAAGACATAATTTTTATTTATATTTACACCAGGTGGGGGCTTTAAGTATACAATATCATCAATTTCACCATGAAGGAAAGCACCTTTAACATCCATTTGATGAATTAAATAATTCCTTTGAACAGCAACTGATAAAAGAACTCTGAGAGTTTGCAATTTCAAAACTGGAGAATAAATGTCGGTAAAACTACCTTCCTGTTGAAACCCCCTTGTAACTAATCTAGCTTTATATACATCACCCGCCTTTTTTGTAAAAATCCATCTACAATCAATTAACTTAGCATCTTTTGATTTTTTTACAACTTCCCAAGTCTTATTATCCTCTAAAGATTTAATTTCTTCATTTACCGCTTCATACCACCTATTTTTATCGTCATAAGAATCTATATCATCATACTTTTCCGGGACATTACCATTAGAACAAGATAAAAATGATGCCATTAATATACCATCCAAATCAGAATCATCAGTGACAAATTCTTGTAAATATTTTGGTTTAGTTTTCTTTCTTTTCTCCCTAGAATTAACATCATCTGTATCCCTTCCCTCAGGTTTAAATGACTCTAAATAATTATCAGAAGTTAAAGGGGTTTTGGTTTTCTCAGGACTACTACTACTATCTTTTTCTTTCTTATCCGAGACAGATTCTACATCAATACTAATAGTTTCAGGGGACTCTGAACATGTTTCTTCCCTAAACAATACATTTCGTTCTATGTGTATCCTCCTTTCATTAGCATCCCATAATCTGTATCCCCCAGGAGCATACCCAACCATTTTCAATTTCACACCACGAGGATCTAACTTCATTCGGAGTTTTTGGGGAATATGGGCATACGCAGATGACCCAAATATTCTAAAATTAGAAACATTAGGACGTCTTCCCTCCCACATTTCAAATGGTGTAGCATTGAGCGAAGCAGTGGGACTACGATTAGTGACATATACCGCATATCGCAGGGCCTCGCCCCACAGCACTTTAGGAAGCTGTGAATCTAACAATAATACACGAGCTTTTTCAGTCAGAGTACGATTCATTCTTTCAGCTACTCCGTTCATATCGGGATTATATGCAGCAGTATACTGCAATACTATGCCCTTATCATCACAAAAAGATTTAAAATTTCTAGAAATATACTCACCACCATTATCTGACTTTAACTTCAATATACCATGACAAATGATTACAAGCATAATTATAATAAGTCTTAAAATATTCAAAAACTTCAGACTTGTCTCTTAATAAGTAAACTGCGGTAAAGTGGGTAAAATCGTCTATGAAAGTAACAAAATGTTTATACCCGTCCCACGTAGAAGGGCTAACAGAACAAACGTCGGTATGTACTAGTTCTAAGGGTTTCCGAGCCTTATACATTTTCCCATTAAAAGGAAGGCGTGTAATCTTAGCAAGAATGCATGGTTCACAATGTCTATTTTCTAAAAAAATTCTTTCAAATCAGTTAAACCATCAACCATATTTTTCTTTACTAAAGTTTTCAAACTACTATAGCTTAAATGAGAAAATCGTTTGTGCCAAATTTCTACTGAATTATCACTGGTGTCTGATTTTGCACCGTAATAACAATCATTAAATATTACTTTAAATTCTATAAAATAAAGGGACCCTAGTCTATGCTCAACCATAAGCAATTCATTGGTTTGTGAGAAAACTTTAACTTCCCCTTTATTAAAGATGATCTTTAAACCATGCTTTTCCATTTTGGAAACAGATAATAATTTTTTTCTTAATTGTGGTACATAATACACATCATTTAATATAATATCAACTTTAAAATCACTTAAATAACCTTTTATTGTTCCTATACCAACAGCCTCTAAATCAATGCCATTTTTGGCAGCTGAAATTTTAATTGGCTTATCCAGTTTACAATAATTAAAGAATAAACTAATGTCATTTACAAGATGAAATGAACTACCTGAGTCAACAACCCATTTAAAACTATTTTTATTCTGCTGTTCGGTGTCGGGGCTAAAGGATACAAAACTTACAAATTTGTTACCTTCAGTATTTTCAGTGCCTGTAAGAAATGACTTTCCTCTACCTCTCCCTTGGGTCTGGTAATGAGTTGCCTTACTGTCGTTTCGGCCTCCGTTGTATTTCCAGTCGCTACGTCCACATCTATAACACAAGAAGATTGAAGAGTTAAGGGATTTGGTAGCTCCTCTGTTGCGTTTTTCCTCTTGCATTTTCCGTTCGTCGAATTTCATATCGGACAACTCTCTTCTTATAAATAATTTAGATCTTGTACCTTTCTTCTTAAAACTGTCTTCCATGCTTTTAATCATTTGATAAGCAGATCTGTCCTTTAAGTTTTCGAGGTGACTGTCGGCGGTTGCCGCTATTATGACAGCCTGGGCCTTAGCTTCCAATTGCTTCTTATCCGCAGATTTACTAAAGTCCTCCTTTTTGATCGCCTCTATTACTCCATTATCCCGCAGGATACTTTTCAATCGGAATTCCCACGCGTTGTAATTGTCCCCCGCGAAAGGGACAATTTGATATTTTTCTTTTGACATTTTCTGTCCTTTAACACTTAATCCACTATAAAACGCGATGGCCGTCCTGGGCCCATAACCCTGTTAAGGATTATTAAAGATAATTAAAGATACAATGACATAAAACGTGTCTTTTATTAATATCTCTAAACAATAAAGGAGTGCGTATAACCCACAGAGCCTTGCTTGACAAGCGAAGCAGTGTTGCCATTACAATCCAATATTATATTAAGTATGTTCAATAAATCATTGTTAATTAACAATCTTCAATAGTTTTAAGTCTTAGTTGTATAGTTTTCATATATTTTCCATGTTAACTTCATAACCTGAACTTGGATTTGTATAACTATATCTTTGCGGGTTATTTAGAATGTCAAATTCAAATGACGTTTAATAGCTGTCATATTTGACAAGCTGCGTTCAATTCATTGATTTGTACAGTTTCCACGGCTTGCAAAATAAATTAAATAAATAAAAATAAATTTACTAAAAATAATTAAGTAAAAATAAATAAATATTTTTCTTATAATTACATCAAGCCTTGGACTCTTCGATTAGTTCTTAAAAGGGAAGATGTTAGATATATGGCAACATTGTGATTCTTTTCCCTTCTTGGTCATGGCCGCGCTTAGCGAGTCCTCTGAATTAGCTTAATAAAAGTCAGTCTTATAATAAGTGTTTCTTTAAAACATAACCACCACCTATTACACTCTTTCAAAGAGCTTGCACACCTCGTCAAGCAACACTATGGGCCGGTAGGCGGACGGTGAGTCCGCCGGGCGCCCCTCCTTTCGGATGAGGACCAGTTTCCCCGTCTTCCACAATTTCGGAAACTGGCCCCGCTCGAGGCATGCGCTGAAGAACCTTCGCAGTCGGGGCTCGAGAGCTTCGTCGACTAAGGCCAGGACCCACTCTCGGCCAGGAATGCCATCGGGTCCCGGGGCGGTGTTTTTAGCTTTAAGCCGTAACACCGCTGTTGAGTTTTCAGGTTAAATGATGAAGTCCACCATAGCCAGTAAGTATGTCTTTATTTTCATAAGTTATATTACAATGCAATACGCATGTCCGCCATAGCTAAGTCTAAGTGTAGTGACGTACCACTGACAAGTATCGAGAGACGATAGTAGTGTTGTACTACCTAACATCTCCCTTTTTTTTTTTTATAAAAAAGATTAACTTTAACATCTTAAATGTATTATAATAATTAAAATGAATTTTTACATATTACCTACAAGATTCCATGGCTATCATTAATTAATTATTTTTTTCTATAATTAAAACCAATATGTAATGTTTTCTTCAAGCCATGAAAACTTTTACAAATCTATATTTACTTTTCTCTTGCCTGTAATAAAAATAAAAAAAAATAAACAAGAATCTATGGATATCAAAATACACTATATGACTGTCAACATGACAATAGACAGTTCTGACATTGACACATATCTATTAGCTTAATTATAACAAAATTACTGGATAATTACACAAGACAACATTAACAATAACGCTTTGGCTTTTTAATTACACGCCCTGAACGGGTTGTTATTTGTGTATTATTCGTACTAGGCTTAGAGTTAGTAGTATTATCCTGTGTGCTAATTTGACTTTCAGTTTCAGGTACAGTATCAGTCATGGAATCGGTTGAGTTGGAAGTAGAAGGCTTTAAAATGTGTTCACGGCTTCTACGGAAGATGCCTTGAGGTGACTTGATAATGTAACTGCGTGGATGAACATCTTTTTGTGATACTACACCCGGAATCCAAGTATCTTGTGGTTTGTGCTTAAAGTAAATTTTGTCATCATGTTTGAGTGCTGATAGTGACTTTGAATCCTTATTGTAATAAAGTGATGATTTGAATTGTAGTTTTTTAATGTTTTCCTTTAAGCTTCTGATATCAGCAGTGCAAGGTGTGAGTGAATGTTCTGATGTAGGCAGTTTTGTACGCAACTGTCTTGACATACATAACTGTGATGGAGAATAACCGGTCTGTTTTGGTGTATTCCTATACATTAAAAGTGCTAAATAAGGGTCTGTATTATCTGCTTTGCATTTCTTTAGTAGGGTTTTAATAGTACCTATTGCCCTTTCTATCATTCCATTAGATCTGCTTAGGTATGGACTGGAAGTTGTGTGTTCTATTCCCCATGTTGTAATAAAATTTTTAAATTCTTTACTGTTAAAAGGAGGTCCATTGTCTGAATGCATAACTTCTGGGATTCCGTGACGGGCAAAAATAGATTTTAAGTGAGTTATGACTGTCTTTGAATTTGAATCTGACGTTAATAATGCAAGCTCTATATACTTTGAAAAATAGTCTATTAATATTAAGTACTTATTACCATTTATTTCAAAAATATCTATACCTACTTTACTGAAAGGTAGCATTTTATAGTCATGGTGTATCAATGGCTCCTTTGAATTATTTCTTCGAAAAGTTAGACAAACATGACATTGGTTTATATATTTCTCAATATCATTGTTCATTTGAGGCCAATAAACTGTAGATTTTGCCAGGCGTATGCAACTATTGATACCTTGGTGACCTTCATGAACTAATTTTATGACATACTCTCTCATATTCTCTGGAATCACAATGTTATTGCCTTTGAATAATATATTGTTTACAACATGTAACTGATCTTTTATAGTAAAATATTGTTTGACCAACTGACTGACTGACTTTTTATGTTCTGGCCAACCATTTTGACAAAGTGAAATAATTTGACTTAAAGTTGAATCGTTTTTTGTATTTTCCTGAATTTCTAATAACTTTTCTGGACTAACTGCTAGATTTCTAAATAAAAGATTGACATGAAGATCAAGGTCTTCGTCTAAATCTGTAAGTGTACCTGCTGGAAGGGCTGACCTTGAAAGTGTGTCTGCAATGTATAGGTACTTACCAGGTTTGTATAGCACATTTAAATCGTATGGTTGCAGCCTCAGCATGATTCTTTGTAACCTTGCTGGAATATCGAAAAGTGGTTTTTTGAATAAGGTAATTAGTGGTTTATGGTCTGTTTCAACAGTTACTTTTCTACCATATATATATTGGTGAAATTTGGTACAGCCATATAGAACCGCTAGAAGTTCCTTTTCGATTTGAGCATAATTTTGCTGACAAGTACTTAGTGATGCTGATGCATAAGCTATGGGCTGTTGCTCATGTAAAATTACAGCTCCTAGAGCATCTTTGGATGCATCAACCGACAGTATTATTTCTTTTTTATGTAATAATAAAAAAATAAAAAATTGAAATTATGTGTATTGGGTTTGTTTTAAAAGAAATATAACTAAATTGGTAAATTGGTGGCATCAAATAGAAACAAAATAACAAAATAAAAGTCTCGGGCGCCAGATACCACCTTAAAAGAACACAGAACCCACCACAAACACAACAAATACCTCGGACATCTCAGCCAGCACCGAACCTTTTTAAAACAAAGCGGGAGGACAGCTAATGAATACAAGATGTTAAGTTCTATTGGCAGTTTATTATCCCGTAGTGTCTGTAGAGTACAATGTGTCTTATGTCTCTAATTACAATAGGTAATTCTTATACACAAATTAGTACTGTCATTAATGCAATCCTTTCCAATAAGAAAAATATAAGGTTAAATAAATTTTAAAGAGTCACATAAAGACTAAATAGACAAAACAGTAAACTCTAAAGGTAGACATAGCATTGACCTACTCTCTAATAAAAAATAACACCCCTTGTGGACCTGCAGTGTTCAATGCCACGTCGCCAAGAAAAATATAACAAAACTACATACCAATGACCTTGGACCAGTCCGAATGACATGAAATCAAACCAACTCCGAAACTTCTCACTCCGGTTCCCACGTGGTGGAAAAGGCGGGTCAGCACTCCCAGGCTCCAGACAATGGCGTACAGCTAAGCAGCTTTTTCTACCATTCTGGCGCTCCACAGCAAACTAATTACTTGGGGTTAAACTCCGGGGAGAGACCAAAAATCGAATGCCACGCTAGGACATTCCAATAAGAAAGTAAAATAATTTAGGTGATGTAAAGACTTTAGATATAAGCTAAAAAGAAACCCTGATTCATCTGCAAATAAGGAAAAATTATAGGTTAAAAGCCTATCTCACAGTATGAATCATAACTCTGACAAGAAATCATATTTCACTTACCAGGGTTCCAAAACGTTTCACAAATCAAGCGGCGGCATTATAAGCATTATAAGCATTGCCTGTAACCAATTAAACAAAGAGTTAAAACCACAAATTCCGCCAAGCCAAGCGTGAAGCACGTGGCCGAACAAACTCACCTTTTTTATCAAAAATAATCACTCGATCCACTAGCTCGAGTCTTAACTAGGTTGGCCAAACATTTAAAGAGGAAATAGGCCCTCGTCCATATCAAATAAATACGGATTTCTAAAAAATTAAATGACCAAACTTGGTTTGCCTCACTTCTCTCGGCGGCCGATCCAAAAGTGAAAGTCAAAGTGATACCAGTGCAATAGCCTGTCGCTCTATAGAGCGGGGAAACAAAAAATGTTGCCAGCACAAGAAAAATAAATCGACTAACTACTGCGGGCGAACAACATCGATTATTACTCTCGTCCGTCCCTCGACCATCGGCACACGCAGAAACGACAAAAAATTCAACCTAACAAAACAAAAACGAGACTAAGGTTCAAATTACTGTAATGGCGCGAAATGCACCGTTACATTACATACCTTCCCGAAAAAAAATAAAAGAAAGGACTCTTTCTTTTATGCTGAAAAGTCACTACTCAACAACATATCAAACAAAAAGATTGCAAAATAACTAAACTCCAAAACTGACTCTACCAAAAACTCTACTAAAACTCTACAAACTCCAGGAATACAAAAATCCATACGCCAAAAAGGACTAGGAAACTAAATATAAGATCAAAATAAACTCTACAACAAAAACACACAAACCCAAAAACAAATCCCTCCACCAAGCTACCATTAAGACTGGAAAGTCCAAAAAGTGCGGTTGGACACCCTCGTCACCGACTCTAATGGAGC